CTAAAACTGCCCGGTCCTGCAGATTTGCTTTATACAACATTAGGAAGATCAGGCCCTTTCTTTCAGAACATGCAACACAACTCCTTGTTTAAGCTCTTGTTCTATCCAGGCTGGACTATTGCAATGCTCTCTTGGCAGGTCTTCCAGCCACTTCTATCAAACCTCTACAATTAATCCAAAATGCCGCTGCAAGATTAATCTTTAATGAGCCGAAAAGAACGCATGTCACACCTCTGTTCATCAATTTGCACTGGCTACCAGTAGCTGCTCGCATTAAATTCAAGGCATTAATGTTTGCCTACAAAACCACCACTGGCTCTGCACCCCTTTACCTAAATTCATTACTTCAGAGTTATGTGCCTCTAGAAGCTTGCGTTCTGCAAGTGAACGGCGTATTATTGTGCCATCTCAAAGAGGCACAAAATCACTTTCACTGACTCAATATTTAACTGTTCCCAACTGGTATACTCACTAACTCTAACACTTTCTATTCTATTTTTAATTCTACTTTATCTTCTTTTTTTTTATTTAAAAAAACAAAATTATTTATATTTTTCTATTCTATTGTATCTACTTGTTTTTCTTTGTGTGTGTGTGTATGTGTGTGTGTGTGTGTAATATACACATACACCTTGCTACGTGTACTGCGTTAGGCTAACCGAGACTTGTCATGTGCACTTATATATTGTTGCTCTTTTGTTAGTTTTGACTCACTTTCTATTCTATTTTTAATTCTACTTTATCTTCTTTTTTTTATTTAAAAAAACAAAATTATTTATATTTTTCTATTTTATTGTATCTACTTGTTTTTCTTTGTGTGTGTGTGTGTGTAATATACACATAAACCTTGCTACGTGTACTGCGTTAGGCTAACCGAGACTTGTCATTTGCACTTATATATTGTTGCTCTTTTGTTAGTTTTGACTGCTTTTATTGTCCTCATTTGTAAGTCGCTTTGGATAAAAGCGTCTGCTAAATGACTAAATGTAAATGTAAGTCTCTGGGGTATATTCGTAGCAATAGCCAAAAAATACATTGTATGGGTCAAAATTATTGATTTTTTTTTATGCCAAAAAATCCTTAGGAAATAAAGTAAAGATCATGTTCCATGAAGATATTTTGTAAATTTCTTACCGTAAAGGTATCAAAACTTAATTTTTGATTAGTAATATGCATTGCTAAGAACTTCATTTGGACAACTTTAAAGGCAATTTTCTCAATATTTAGATTTTTTGCACCCTATAGTTGCAAATAGTTGCATCTAGTTGTATCTCGGCAATGGAAAGCTTATTTATTCAGCTTTCAGATTATGTATAAATCTCAATTTTGAAAAATTTACACTTAAGTCTGGTTTTGTGGTCCAGGGTCACATATAATAATTATGTCAAGCTATAGCAATAGAGCAAAGACATGAAAGCTCCTATGGATCTGCTTGACATTTTATCCCACTATTCTGACTTTCTCACAATTCTGACTCTCTTTTTTTTAGTTAAATCTTAAATTATGAAATTTTTCTCAAAATTGCAGGTTTATCATAATTCAGACGTTTGTTTTCTTGGAACTCTCAGTTTACGTCTTGCAATTTGTTCACATGGACAAAAAGCACACATTCATGGTTAATATAAAAAAAAAAAGAAGGTAAACTCAAACCTAATTAGCTTTGAATTACGTGATTCAGAATTTATTAGAACCGAGAACTCAGAATTCACAGAATTGTGAGATGTTACCTCAAAACTGTATGAGATTTAAACTCAGAACACTGAGAAAAGTAAGAATTGTGAGATGCAAACTCAGAATTCATGATGTAAAAGGCTTCAATAGCTAACAACACAATACTTTTATGTGCTTCATACAATATAAGCTCAAGAATTTGTTAGTACACAGACATTAAAAAAATGAACTAATTTTATCTATACTTTACTAACCCTTTCCCATCTGTCATCTTTTTTTTGATGGATTCTGGGATCGTCTTCTCCATTAAGAATGCAATTCTGCAAGTGATGCTGTCTTGGATTTTGGACAAAACGAGACATTAGAAGGTAGCATAAACGTACTCATTTATACCAATGACAGATGCATGAGGGCAAGTAGAGACACACATTTGCCCAAGTCCTCAAAAGACAGTCATGCAAAGAAGATTTTAGCCCCAGATGGTTCAAGTCTGTAATAATCGTTCACTCGTCACATCAAATTCAGAGGCCAATCCCTTCACACACATGCACAAATTACAGACAGGCTGTACTGAAATACAGGCTTTTAAGTAGGAGGTAAACACTTTCCCTTTACCACTTTCCCAGAGAACATCCTGTACCGACTATTCTGCATACAAACATCCCGATGACAAGAAAATACCGCAAAAATACTGAGATACCGATTCGTTTGAGAGAAGGTTGTGTTTGCTAAATCCTGCATCACTATAATAACTGATCATGATTAAAGCTATAGTCATTTAGATCAACCCCTAACACTAAGTATTTAGTAAAGATGTAAAGTACACAGAACAGCCTAGACTTGTGGAAGTGATTTTTTTGCAAACAAGCACCGCTTACATTGTCCCAGCCTCCAGGGAACAAATTAAATTAAAGGTATAGTTCACCCAGAAATTTCCTGTTCATTTACTCACCCTCAGGTCATCCAAGATGTAGGTGACTTTTTTCTTCAGTAGAATTCTAAAGAAGATTTTTAGCTGAAACAGTGTTCCTTGGTGACTCATACAATGCAAGTCAATGCCTGCTGTCACTTTGAGAGTCAAAAAGCATATCATGCAACACAAAATTAATCGCTTCTGATGATATATTGAGGTCTTATGAAGCGGAACAATCAGTCTGTGCAAGAAACTGAACTTTATTTATGTGGATGTTTTACATGAGACGTGTACAACATCCACATTTCATGTCATTATAGGGTGTTTTATATGATTGTGTATACATGATGTAATTGTATGATTACATAACTGGTGAATATGTTATTTGAATCAGTTCATTGAAACAAACGGTCCAAAAAAAACAGTTTCTGGAAAAGAATCACATTTCTCTGTTTGTCTGAGGCTCTGGATTACAGGTAATAATGTTGCAAATAATGTTCAGTTTCTTGCACAGACTGATTGTTTCACTTCATAAGATCTCAATATATCATCAGGAGAGATGGGTATTAATTTGTGTTGCCTGTGATGCTTTTTTTTTTACTCTTAAAGTGGTGGTAGCCATTGCATTTTATGAATCATCCAGGATCACAATTTCAGCTAAAAAAACAATCTTTAAGGAAAAAAGTAACCTATGTCTCGAAGGGCTTGAGGCCGAGTGCATTAACAGCAAATTGTAATTTCTGGGGGAACTATCACTTTAGTTTTTGTCCAACATCAGCTGTGGGTTTAATTTACTCAAAGGCAACATTCTTCAAAATAATGCTGTAAATAAAATGTATTTGGGGTGTTTTCAGTGTGTGTGTGTGTGTGTGTGTGTGTGTGTGTGTGTGTCATACCCATATGGACAGCTGCAGTGTGTCGGGTGTTTGTAGGTACTGTAAGGTCCGCGCAACCTGGTCCAATGAAGGTATCCAGTGGCGTCTGGATCCACACTAGGCCACGGCTGCTGAAGCACACTTGCCTTCCCCGACAGCACACTTCCTAGAGGATTCCTCACCTGAGACAAACCTGAGAGAGGTTTCAGGAAACTGTCACATAGTCTGAACACCAATAATCTATTAATACTTCATCAAATTAATCATCATCAGGCTTTTTTGGCTCATATATAGTAAGAATACAGAACTCATACATTGAGGATTTATTATTATTATTACATTATTCATTATTTATAATGAGCAAAAATATGCAATTTTGGAGCACTTGCTGGTATTTATTTAGCCAAAAAACATAAAAAGATGAAATTCTGATAGCTTGTAATGTAAATCAATGAAATCTTTACAACAGTATAGCAGACACTTACAGTACATAATGATATAAATACCAGTTATGACTCTATATCTCCCAATAATGTCTTAGTGATATTTAATATTGCTTTGTTTTAATGATCAAAACATATAATGCAATGCAATACAATGATGATTGAGAGATGAACAAATACACATTCCTCAAAAGCCTGATGATCATATTTGAGACTCACATTTGAACATGATTTTTCCTAAAACCTATGCATGGATAATCAAGTAAAGCTAAAAGCTGCTTCAGGCCAGTATGTGTTCATCTTGAAATATTACAAACAATATAAAAGTTATGTTTATTTGATATAATTCAGTAAAGATTTCACAGCAAAAAGACACGGGAAGCACATTCTGAAGGTGGATATTTGCACAATTTTGCTAAAAGGCCTCAATCAAATGACAGAAGACGTAGTAGATTTATTTACAGCAAAGTTTTGTTCATTTACAGGCTTTAAAAATATGATAAAGTATGCTTTATAGAGTTAAAGATCCACTAGTGTCACCAAACTGGACAGCAAAAGCAATAACTGTTTTGTAACAAGGTAGAGAATGATCCAGCACATAAACAGGCGTCCGAATTTAGAAACCTGTGTCTGACCTCAGCATGGCCTTCAGGAAGGATGTACACTTCCGCTTGTCCTTAGCGTGTGTTTGTGTGTGTGCATAAGTACAGGAGGAAGTGGGACAAGAAGGAATAGTTCACCCAAAAATGAGATGAGTTCTGACATTATTTACTATCCTCATGTTGTTCCATGCTGTTATATTGTTTCTGTGGAACATTAAGGTCCTCTAAATCCATGAGAACACACACACACACACACACACACACACACACACAAACATATCCTTAACAAGCAACGTTTGGTCACATAGTTACACATCTTCTGGTCAGCATCAGTCAGTGTTATCAGAGCATGTGGGCATGTTCTTTTTTCCTTACGGGACAAACACACAGTGTGTGTGTGTGTGTGTGTGTGTGACAATAGCAGGATGTGATGAAATGGACAACAGGGGCCAAGAGTTTCCTTTTTTCCCCTTCACCACTAGTATTTCCACGACTTTTTACCCAGCTCACAATTATTCACTTTCATCCTGAGTCACTTTTTTTTCTAATAGCATCGTACTAGCAATTTTGTATTGTCATCAGAATGTACAATCCACACTATTCAGAGTTGAAATGGGAATGCCCAATTAATAATTATTCTTGAACTGAATGTGTTTTGATGATGCAAAACGAATGCTGAATTAACAAATCACCCATAAATGTTATCATACACAAAACACACATGGGGTATCTCCAGAAATCATTTTTGTGACATTTAATGAAATATGTCTAATCTTCTGTGAAAAATGCATTCTATAAATCAGAGAATACATTTTCATCTAATTTATAGAATTGATATCGTTATCGCAATAAATACCAGAAATATCGTGATATATATTTTTAAGCCCATATCGCTCATCCCTACCGTAAAGCTTCTTTCACACCAAAAGTGAAATGAATAGGCCTCGGGCTGAAAGAAGTTTCTCAGCCTCTGCACCTCGAATCCTCTCAACACATTACAGAAGAGATGACAATGTTTAAATTACTTAATTTAAAAAGTAACTCAGATATTTTGTTGCAAGTATTGCATTACTTTACTATGTACTTGGAAAAAGTAATCTGATTGCGTAACTCGCGTTACTAGCAATGATTTACCCCCAACACTGATCATGGACCCGTCACATGGTCAAATACAAATAAAAGTATTCTTATCCATTCACAGCGCAGATATTTACCAGGAACATGAACAATAGCTGCAGTGTGGAGTAAATGACAGCACAGGGAACAGTGAGGGGGGCTTGTGTACAGTATGTGTGATACGTGCAACGCTTCATGCTTGCATATGTTAGGGTGTAACAGACTTTTTCAGGAGTAGATAAGCTGCTAAATGGACATGTTTCCCTGAAGGTCAGCATCCACCCATCTGACCTGCTTCATTTAATGTTCCAAGAACACCATGAAACCGGTCCAGTATATAAGTCATTATTAACTATATATGCATCCTATCAGTTTAATGCAAACTTGGCAGGAACGGCCTCATGTACTGTATTTGAATAAATGCAAACGAGAATAAGATTTTAGAGCAATTGTGAAGAGGAAGCTTTTCAGTGAATAACAACTTCAATTTCAGCTACACTCTTAAAAATAAAGGTGCTTCACGATGCCATAGAAGAACCTTTTTTGTCTAAATGGTTCCATAAAGAACCTTTAACATCTGAAGAACCTTTCTGTTTCACAAAATGTTCTTTGTGGTGAAAGAAGGTTCTTCAGATTAAGAAAGAGACGGTTCTTTAAAGAACCTTTGATTGAATGGTTCTTTGTGGAACCAAAAATGGTTCTTCTATGGCATCGCTGTGAAGAACCTTTTAAGCACCTTTATTTTTAAAAGTGTACTGAATGACTACAGAGATTTTAGCACACAAGACACTTTCGTTTTTCTATCTTTATAGTGTCCATCCACCGTTACCTTCAAATAACAGCTTTGGGAACATGAGGAGTAAATGATGACAGTATTTTCATATTTTGACATACTGAGGTGGATGTGTGTGTGTGTCATACCTGCCCAGAGTTCAGAAGCTAAGTGTGGACACATGGGTGCCGCCATCACACAGAGCGATGCCAAAGCCTCCTCAAACTCCACGCTGTGCAGAACCACCCGAGACGAGGCTTGCTACAGTAAGAGAGCAGAAAACACAATAAAAAGTTCAGAAAGCTCAATCAATCATTTGGCTTTCCAAGCACATTATTCTTGATGATTGTTGATGACTTACTGAGAGTGTGTTGGTCAGTCCCATGAGCCGAGAGATGGCCGCATTTAACAGGAAGTCCTCTGTGAAGTGACCTGTCAACAGAATAACATGGCTTAACTTCATTCAGCACAATATTAGATATCAGTTTCCTTTAAACATACACTAAAGTTCAAACGTAAAAAGTTAATACTTTAATTAACCAAGGATGCATTAACTTGATCAAAAGTGACAATAAAGGCATTTATAATGTTACAAAGGATTTCCATTTCAAATAAATGCTGTTCTTTTGAATTTTCAAAAGACTTTGAGACTAGATCGATCAGGCAGACTCCACATCACCCATACAATGTATTGTTGGCTATTGCTACAAATATACCTGTGCTACTTATGACAGCTTTTGTGCTCCAGGGTCACATATTACTGTTTTTATTATATTTATTAATGTCAAACATTAGTCATGTTTGGAGGCTTTCGGAAATATTCAGTTAAAGGCAGAGTAAGTGATTTCTGGTAGTCAATGTTGATATTTGAAATCACCAAAACAAACACGCCCCTACCCCAAAACGGTCTCGCCCCTATTTTGATAGCTCCGCCCCACACATACGTACACAACCCAGGCAACGATTAGTTCTGTGAAACAAAGCAAAACCAATGTTACACCGTGTCTACGGATGTGAGCGGCGCGGCGCAACAAACCCCCGACAGAAAACTGCTGCCGGGTTCTATTTATGACGTGCTGACACACATTTCAAATGGTTTTCAACGGTGGTTTGATCGCGTCCAGTGTAGGCAGACTTTAGCTGTTGTAGACTCGGTGTTACTCAGCTATTGAGAAGAAACAAAGCAACCTCGGCGTCCGATCACAGGCCTCCGCTCCTTGAGTTCTCTCCAGCGCTGGAAAGCTGATCCGATATTTACACGGGTCCTACTTCTTGCCTTATCGTTCCGCAGACTTTTTTTTATCTGCCATCTCTATCTTTCTGTCGCTCGGCTCGGCTAATGTCTGTCCCATGCACTAAACGCTCTCTCCTCCACATCACGAGTAGACACGCCCCTTATTGCTGATTGGCTACAAGTTTGTTTTGCTATTCGGCCCGAATCAGTTTTCTAAAGCGTTTTTGAAAAATCACATACCCTACCTTTAATAGGTGGTGCCAACTACATTTATTGGTACAACACTGGTATATTTAATAGTGTTTAGTAAGTAACCAGGTAAACTGTGCATTTTGAGCCCCAGAAAAACAATGAGAAATGCATATAGGCATATAATGATCACTGTCATCTCTGGCTTTACCTGTGTGATGGCGTAGTTCTTGTTCTCCCAGATCTTCCTGGCCTCTGATCGCTCTCTCTTGTTGAGGACGGATGGGTTGGGCGTCTCTGGACCCTCAGTTTGGTGGCCAAACCCCACAGACGGGCCTGCCATCGCAAACACAGCATCACGTTAAAACAGACCGCTGGTATAACTGTGGTGTTGTACTTGATGGACAGGTTAGAGATCAGGACGTTCACACAGAACGTGTTGCTGTGCTAAAAACAGCTAGATAGAGTACAGCAGGTGCTTTTGGAGGTGATTTAACTCTCATACACTGGTGCTAATGTTTAGTAGAAGAATAGGATGCACATACTTCTTTAAATCCAGATCTGGATTGTAGGTACTTTTTTTTTTATGAACATATACTTGAAAGTGTATGTACAGTAGGTCCTGTAACGGCTCTTCATTTCTTTCAGGTTTTTCACCATTTGTAAATGCAATATAGTATTAGTAAATATATTAAAATGATTTAAAATATGCGAAAACGAGCATAAACAGCTAAAAATCAAATGCAAAATGTCATTTTTTTATTTTTTATTTCAAGAACAAGGGTTCCCACAATCTTGGAAAACCTAGATATATACGGGAATTTTAATTTAAATTTAGAATTGAAAAATCATGGCAATAAATACAATTTAAAAAGTAACAAAAATGAAAAAGTAACCAAAAATTTAATGTCACCCATAAACGCTCAACGCACTTATGTCAATAATGTAAATATATCACATGGATCTCATCACACTAGGATTTATCTGACTACTTTAAAATGGTCTACACCGTGTAGTAACATAACTTAAAATATCCTGTGAATAAATTAAAAAAAAAAAATTATTTAATACTTTTATTCAGCAATGATGCATAAAATTGATTGAAAGTGACAGTAAAGAATTATAAATGCTGTTATTTTGAACTTTCTGTTCATCAAAAATCCTGAAAAACTAAATGCATCACGGTTTTGACCAAAATATCATTCAGCACAACTGTTTTCAACATTGATAGTAATCAGAAATGTTTCTTGCAGATCAGCACATTAGAATGATTTCTGAAGGATCATGTGACACTGACGACTGGAGTAATGATTCAGCTTTGATCACAGACATAATCAAATCATCGTTTTAAATGTTAATAATATTTCACATTTTACTATATTTTTGATCAAATAAATTCAGCCTTGGAAGAGACTTAAAAAATAATATTGACTGCAAACTTTTGAATGTTGTATGTTACGGAGCAGCTCTGAAAGATGACGTTTACACCGGTATTAAGTGCTGACCACCAGTGTTTGGATCACTTAAGATGTTAAGAGGGTCTTTGGTGTGATGATCTTGTATGTTTGAATCCTCAGGAAGAGACGCAGCTGTGTTTACTGTAATAAGCATCTCTCCTCTACACTGTGTACACACAGACGCATTATGAAACCATCATTGATAAAAGCACAGAAATTACAGGCGTTTTGGGAGCCAGTTCAGATGCTCATGTGAGCCTGTTTACCTTGTTGCCTGGCAACAACAAAAAAACTATTCTGGCTCCAGTATCCACAGAAAGCCACACGGGAGGTGAGTGAGATGTGAGGAGGGCTGTTCGCAGTACTGATGCGGTTCACACACTAAAATGGCACAAGCTGTCTCAATTTGATACTCAAGTCTCATTGGCTGGCCTAAAGCAATTTACAGGAGTCAGAGTGCACATATTTTCGATCAGTCTATATCAGTGGTTCCCAACCCTGGTCCTGGAGGCACCCCAACACTGCACATCTCCTTAATCAAACACACCTGATTCAGGTCATCAGCTCATTAGTAGAGACTCCAAGACCTGGAACTGTCAGAGAAAGGAGACATGCAGTGTTGGGGTGCCTCCAGGACCAGGGTTGGGAGCCACTGGTCTAGACAACAAAGTTACCTACATTTTTCAGGTAATGCACCTGAACACATTATAGAGTAAAAATAGATGGTAGATTCCAATAAGATGTTTTCTTTTAACTAAAGGAAGGGCTTCCTTTTTTATAGTTAGTACATTCAAAGCTATATATTCTACTTTTTATCTCAACGTAATGTGCGATTTCTGATATACTCACTCCTAAACAGTTTGAAAGTCTAATTCTGAGCCAGATGAAAGATTTCATGAAGCCAGCACAAACTCCTGCACTTTTGTAGGGTTTGGGTTTTATTTTACGAAAAATGGTGCCAAATCGATACTTTTAAAATGGTACTGTGCCTGAACCGATACTTCCAAAAAAAAAAAAAGCTACAAACCGATGGTGGATGGTATTAAAAAAAAAAAAAAAAAACTCCTGTACAGCACACTGCACTTTTTTGTACTTCATGTTTTCTTACACACACACACA